TACATAAGCCTTAAATTTCGAATGATTTTGGTTGTCCGCATTGGTTGACCAAGGCAGTGAGATCCATTTCGGCGACCTCAGGCTGGAAGCCGATGCCTTGTCACCAGTGCCCGCTCGGAAGAAAAACCTCAAGAAGTGCCTCGACAAGAAAGCCATGAAGGTCATGAAAGCCATGAAGGCTACGAAGACAATGAAAGCGATGAAGGTTTGCAAGAAGCCAGCAGCCGATGTGGAGCAGTGCTACAAGGATCGGGAGCTGTTTCTGATGCCGTACAAGAAACATCCGAAGGAGCCGGTGGCAATCAGGGTCAGGGGGGACAAACAGCTCCTGCAAGTTTCCAGTTTTGGCAGTGTGAAAGAGAACTCGAAGCATGCTGCACGTCTTTTGAAGAAGCTCAAGGGCGGCTGTTCCTTGCAGCAGGTGATGGAAATGAAAGAGAATCTCTGAGAGATTCTTCGTACATCGTCATGATATGCATAAGAACATTTCGCGAGCCACAGAGTTCCACGCCGAGTGTCTGGGGAAAGGGTTCCAATTGAAGTTCGAGTTGGCAGTGCTTGTCCGGATTCAAGCACGATGAGCTACTGTGTGCGTGTGTGTGTCTGTGGGGGGCCGGGGGGCACGGTCTGAACATGATGCATTCATGGCTCGGTCGACATTGATGAAGGTTCACTCCATAGGCATGCATACGGCAGCAGTGCAGTTTCAAGGCTCCCCTTCCCGACCGCTCCTTATGTATGTGTACTTATGTGTATGCTTTATTGCAATGTACTCCTAAATTCTAAACCTTGAACCCTTAACCATGTAGGTAAAGGTGTGTGTGTGTGTTATCCATGCATGTATGCATGTTTTATGCACTGTGGGTAAGCATGGCCAAGTCGGCAGTGCTGCCTCTCGACCATGGGCCGCAGCCCAAGTGCACTTGCAAAGACGAGAGTCAGCACTAAACATAGGACCCCGCATGCCACACCCGAACCCTCGCAAGGTCACTTATGCGATGCAGTCCAACGTCGAGATCTACAAGGCTACATCTTGTGGTAGGGATTCTGGAGATAGGATTTACAGCTGTGGCTAGGCTTTGTTAAAGTTTAGAGGTTTCGGGTGTGCGGTTAAATGGGGTAAAGGTAAAGGGTTTAGGGCTGGAAAGACATCCTGATCAGTCGGCTTGTGACACAAGGCCCCCACCCTAAACCCCCAAAGCCCTAGGGCTTTCACCCTAAAGCCCTGAACCCTAAGACCTTACACGTCCTCACGCCGCCAGGTTCGGAAGACATCACTGTGGGCGACTTCTTGAAGGCTTATGAGGTACATCTAAGGGTTGTTTGAATAGGCTGTAGTTCTCGAACTTCGGAAAAAAGATGGGCTCAGACGCTTTAGTGTCACGTAGTGTATGGTTTAGGGAGCTTAGGGTGTTTATCCCCAAATTCGGGATTTGTGAGCCAAGTGGTCTGGAGGGTTTAGGGCTATTTAGTTTGTCCGAACTTCGGGAAGAGGACGGGCTTTGAGAGTCTA